AGGCAATCCCAACGCCTGCTTGACCAGACGCTGAAGCGATAGGGTCAATAATTGGTAACCAGGCTTTAGTTACGAATGATGGATAAAAGGATGCAAGAGAAAATAGTGTATAGATATTGCAAAGTTTTGGGGTTTCTGTTATAACGAACTGGTTTCCGTCGATGAAAGCATAACTGATTCGAAATAACTGTTGATAGTGATGCTGAATGAACAATTGAAGCCGCTTTTATGTCAGATACCAACCGTTCTTTTTCCGAATGACCACGTTTAAACCTTGTTACATCGACCCGCACGATATTTGTCATTTTGATTTTGAAGTATTGTTCACTTGAGTTGTGTCTTTCGATGGCAGTCGTTCATCCAAGGACTAGCTACCGACTATCATGCATTCAGACTACAACTATTTAACGCACCGAACCATTTATAGCCTCTATCGCTTACTTTGGGTTAACCTCTATTAGGAGGAAATGCTTTTCAAACAACGAAGCTTTAGGCAACTTTAAACGTGTTTGGCGCTGCTGCCATCTCCGGTTGTCCGTGAACGATCGAGTATATGTGCTGGTGACCATTTAGATCATGCGCAGACCTGGTCATTGGGGGCAGAAAATGAACAAATACAATCGGGTTTCAAACAACCCTATTTTCGCCGCATTGAACGAGTCAACTGGGACAACTTGACAAGTAACGCCGAGGTTGGACGAAGAGGGTCAGAGCTTCACCATCACAGATAGTAGTAGCTAGGATTGATTTGCACACGACATTGGATAGCGTTCCTCACCGTGCGTTTATTGAGGCAGGCAGTAGATAGCAGGTCAAGGGTGGTCAAAGGACCTAGTGTGAATGTATGACGACCTTTGCCAGAGAACTTGGTTATATATGTTGCTTTAGGTATCCCAGTTAAGAATCTTGATAAAAACCTAATTAACAGCTAATTTTTATAAACAGAAGAGCTCATGTATGCATTCATTTTCTTATATCTACAGTAGCTTGGTACCAGGCATTGTGTATTCAACACGCGCAACATTTTACCACTTAAATCACCCGATTACGGTTGCCGACATCAGACACCACAGGTGTACATATTAGTCAATCAAACATGACAGTTACGTTGAGTCAACGGCTGGTTTATCACATGTGCGTGAACCAGTGCGCAGTCTGCTGTCACGAGATCGTAATTGGTGTATGTGCTCGTAAGTTGTGGAACGTATAGTGGTTTACATTCGTTGTGCCATTATCTTGGGACTACTCTCAGCCTCTTGTTTATCCCATTTACTCCCTTACCGATCGACCGAATGAGTAGCCAGAAAACAGTAACCAAAATCGGTCCACGAAAGTGGCTGTACAAACGGTACTGGAATGAGGACAAGTCCAACCTAAAAGAGATTCGACACCAAGTTCATCCAGTAATGGACATGCATAACTGATATGCAGTAAGGACCGCGACACTGAACGTGTGTTCTCAAGGAATTGGTCCGACCATTCATATGCTATTTACTATAAGATCACAAAAAGGTCGCCTCTTAGCCGAGCCGTTCGTTTCAGTTTCCGCTGGATGCAGTGTTTTGTACCTGGCCTCATTAGGGAGGTTATTAAATAAATGTGATAGTGGCCATTTTTTCCCGGAAATATTCGCTGTGTGAATGGGCAGATGAAATGTCGGACGGAGAGAATGAGCACCATATTTTTTTATAACACACAATTGTGATGAACAGTAGACGGGGTGAGTCCCTTATTCACGAGGGCTTGCTGTTCAGTGATGGATACCGGAAACCTAATCTCCGGGACTTGGAGTGGCAAACCATATAAGGACCCGCTAGGTTAGACGTGGCGTTGAACCGGATGAGAGCAAAGCTGCCTGCCACCAAAGTTGGGTGGCGATGGTGGGGCTCGAACCTTAGACCATAGGGTCCAAAGCAGGCCGGCGACAGCGACTAAACCACTGCGCGACCACCGCCCCAAAATGTTAGTTGCTTAAGGAAAACTTCATGACCATACTGCATTTTATCACCATCTAACAAGTGACTTTCGGATCCGGAAGTTATCACTGGTCCGATCATGGAAGTACCCTGATTATGATACCAAGGTCAAGTCCACCGTTATCACGAAGGGACACTTTAGACTATGCACACATTCATCTAAAAGGGTGATTTGGCTCTTTGAAACCAAAAGTCGATTTCACATAAATGCTAATCGTATTCATTGCGAGATGAACCAGAACAGTAAAAAAATACGCATCACAAGCTGGGGAGAGGGTGCTGTACAATGTAAGAATCATGAGCAAGGTGGTCTCACAATACAAGCTTTCAACCAGTTATCCGAAGCGCTCGTTCAACATGTTCCCGATCAGTTCCGTACTGATAATAATGTGGGGCAAGTTCCAATAACCAGTCTGCCTGAATTGCACTGACTCCGCTCACACAGGTGGGAACTGGACCCGGGCCACGATTCTCCCCAAACCCAGTTGCCCCACTGAGTTCTGCACTGGTCGCTAAATAAACATGTGTGAACAAGATCCAGGCTGGCCACTTGCTTGTAGAGCTGAACAAAATACTGTTCGGGTGCAATCGCAGTTGATGATCACCTCGGACAGTGAGATAATGTGATCCGGAGGGAGCCAGACGTGCAACCTGCTCGGAAGGGAAGACCGCAGCAACAGGACAACGAACACCAGATATGTAAACAAGCAAACGGTCAAGACAGAAAAAATCCTACAGTCATTGCTGAGGTTAAAGTAATTACAATTTTACATTGGAAAATTGTATACCGATGTGCGGTGGTCAAACGGTTTGGGTCTCGTTGACCCGAAAGCGATACGTTCGATTCGTGACACCAAAAACCTCAATGTCACTGAAAACTGATTAACATTGATTGCTAAGTAAATAAAAAAAGAAAGTAAGCAATTACTACTGAAGCCTCTGAAAGCCTCA